TTCAAACTAACACTGGAAGTCTTCACTACAGCCAGAATCAAGAGAGATTATGTTATATGCTAATGAATAAATAAGAAAAATAAAATAATAAATCTCTAAAAATGGTTCCGCTAAGGAAGGAGAATTTGGGGTGGAAGAAGACAGTATAAGAGATGATGATGTCCTGACACATTTTCTGTTTGTTCATTCCTTTTAGACTGCACACGCACGCACACATGCACACACACAGTTTCTTTTTTTTGTTTTTCTTTTTTCTTTTTTCTTTTTTTTTTTTGGTTTTTTGAGACAGAGTTTCTCTGTGTAGCCCTGGCTGTCCTGGAACTCACTCTGTAGACCAGGCTGGCCTCGAACTCAGAAATCCGCCTGCCTCTGCCTCCCAAGTGCTGGGATTAAAGGCATGTGCCACCACTGCCCGGCACACACACAGTTTCTGTTTTATAATTTTCTTTAGAAGCTGTAATTCCTCCAACAAAAATCCAATGAAAAATGGAAAGTTACAGTTTTGGCAGCCTTTGCAGAAGCACTTTGGGAGAAGTCTAAAGCACCCTGCAGATTTGGGAATGATTGGCACTTCAGCCTTGGGCAGAGTTGGGGAAGGAGAGTTCAGAGTCAGTAACTGCTGAACAGCACCTGCAGGAGGGTAGATGTCAACAGGACTGCCGACCTACAGGAAGCACTGTTGAGCTGCTTGTAGGCTTCTCGGGGATAGTACTCCAGGCTTTGGTGAAAATAAAGACAAAACCCCAGGATACACGCCCATGTGTATTTTTGGTCACAGGCAGGTGCTTCCAAGTACTGGGATGGTGGGCACACTGGCACAGCCAACACTCCCAATAGAGTGCTTTTAAATATTTTATTTTCCTAAACTTACTAGAAAAGTGGACCCAAGTTGGATTTTCTTTTTTTGTGTTCCCAGGAATCTGTCTCTCCTCTGGCTTCCAGGAGAAGCAGCTCTCACAGTTGCAGGTCTCTGGGAAGGGGAAGGGGGTGGAAAATGTGAGATTTCAGTCCAAATCCTGACAAATCCTCACTCATTATAATCAGTGAGAATTAAGCTCCTCCAGAAACCACACTGGGAGGGGGGGAGAATCAAGATCTCAGTTCCCCCAACACTTGACGGCATCAGATTTATAGCAAATCCTTGCTTTGTGAATCCCAAATATGTTGTCCAGCCAGACACGGTCTTTTACAACTGGTCTGAAGAAGTCGGTGTCAGAGTGAGGAGGGCTTTGTGAGGAATCCTGATGAAGAGACAAGACCAGATGTCTTGGGAGCCTCAAACAGGAAAGGCTGAACCCGATCCAGCCTGCCCAGGCTGACTGCCCTCAGCTGTGATGAAGCTAAACCCCTCCACCACCTGGGCCAAGAAGGGCAGCCAGCTGGAAGCCATGCCAACACAAGATTATACACCCAGCAAAAGTTATCTCATTGAACCAAAGCAATGGAAAGCTGTGCTGTGGGAATGGAACGAAGAACCAGGAAGCATCAGGACTGGGGTAAATGAACAGTTCATATCTGCAGCACTCAGGTAGAGTGCTACAACAGTGGAGAACCATGCAACCCTGGCTCTGGAGACAAGAAGATCCCAAGGAGTCAGTGGCCAGTGAGCTCAAGGTACAGCAAGGAATCATGTCTCAAAATACAAGGTGAATGGCCAGGAGTGGCCATGAACACCTTTAATCTCAACATTCAGAAGGCAGAGGCAGGAGGATCTCTTGCGTTCTAGGCCAGCCTGATCTACAGAGTGAATTCCAGGCCAGCCAGGGCCAAATAGTGAGAAAAACCTATGAACTCCAAATGTCTCAACATGCATAAACGTGCACGTGCACATGCACGCACTCGCGCACATGCGTGCGCACAGGCACGCACACACATACACACACACACACTCACACACACAGCCGGTATGTTTTTATCATAAGCACAGAAAACACATTAAGGCCTTAAAAGAGAGGACACACTGATGAAGACAGGCAGGCTTCAGTTCTGGGCAATACCAAGTAGAGGAAATACAAAGGGAAATTGGAAAGATGGTTGAGCGGGTAAAGCGTTTCTATGCCAGCCTGAGGACCTGAAGTCCCATGATTTCGTATAAAATCATGTAAAAATTCACGTAAAATTTTACATGAACCCCATGAGCCCAGAATTCATGTAAAATCAGGCAGATTTTATACATCAGAAGTCCCACTGTGCCACTATGGTAAAACGACAGGGCTAGACAGGAAACCCCGTGGCAGCTCACTTACCGCTACATGTGGAGAATGAGAGATGCCGCCACGGTGGGGCGAGGTGGAAGACAAGGAAAACACCTGAGAACCTGTCTCCTAAAACATGTCAGAGTAACCTGCCTGTTCCCAATGTCTCCATCCTGTCTAGCAGGTGCAGTACTCTGCAACTGAGGCTCTGTAAAAGTGTCTGCAATCGGGTAGAGCAGATTTCTCATTGCCACAATGAGAATTTTTTTTTCCTTGAATTTTTGTGTATGTTTCTGTCAAGTTCTGCCATAATTATCTTAAGAACTTTTGTTGAAATTGAATAAACTTGACTTGCGGGGGGGCGGGAAATCTGCTGTCTTCCACATTAAGTCTTTCTATGAGGTTTTGTCTCTGACTAGTTAGAATTGGCTTAATGCTTTTTGATACATCGTTCTTGGGCTGGGGGTGGAGTTTGGCTGGTAGAATGGTTGTCAGGCATAGGCAGAGGACTTGATCTGATCTCCAGATCCATGGAAACCAGATATGGCACTGGTATCTGTCATCGCAGCACTCAGGAGGTAGGTGCAGAAGGAGCATTCCCATCCATAAAGAGAATTCGAGGCTAGCCTGGGCTACACAGGACCCTGTCTCTAAAATATATAACTCTTATTTTTCCATAAAAGTCTTACAGTCATTTATTTTCTTCTAGAAGTTCATGGTTTTAGCCTTTGCTGTTGTTATTGTAAATATATTCTGACTACAGTTTCTGGTGACCATGTTTCCAGCAACGTCAGTGAATTCTAGTGTCATTTCCATGATTTTGCCTGTAGATGTCACATGATCCCTTTTTCTCATTTCACACGATGGTAACCTTTTATTCTTTTTAAGTGTTATCCTGACTGTGAACATGGTGGGATTTAATTTTTGTTTTGTTCTGTTTGCGGCTGGATCTTGCTATGTACCCCTAGCTGGCTTGAAATTCATTACATAAACTATGCTGGCCTCTGCCTCACAGAGGCCCACCTGCCTCTGCCTCCTGAGTACTGGAATCAAAGGTGAGCACCACCAATCTAGAAGCTAGGGTTGCATTTTTGTTTTGTTTTTTTCCCCTGAGACAAGGTTGCTATTTCCCTTAGGAATTCCAGCACTCTTGCAAGCTGTAGTCTGCTGCTGTTTCTTCCAGACTGGTTTTATGAGCATATACTTGGTGCTCCTTCTGTTCAGTGTGTCTACAAATTCCTAGGTTTTCCCTCTGGTTTTTCTACAGACTTATCTTTAACTGAGCTTTTATTTTCCCACAAGAATTTTTCATGACCATTGATTTCCAGTCAGTATCTACATGTATATCATGCATACTGTTCTTTACATGTGGGGCATAAGGTTTAAAGGAAGTTATCCATGGTACATGGTCAGGCTTCAGAATCTCTCAGAAAGTGCTTGGAGAGATGCTCAGCTGTTAAGAGCACTGGCTGCTCTTCCAGAGGTCCCGAGTTCAATTCCCAGCAACCACATGGTGGCTCACAACGATCTGTAATGGGCTCTGATGTCCTCTTCTGGTGTGTCTGAAGAGAGAAGTGATGCACTCCTATACATAATAAATCTTTAAAAAAAATAATAAAGCCTATACTGCACTTGCAGAGGAGCTGAGTTCAGCTCCTGCCATCCTATTAGGTGGCTCAGAACTCCCTGTAACTTTATCCCAAGGGATCCAATATCTCTGGTCTCCATAGACACTGCACTAATGTGCATATGCAGACATAATTTAAAATAAAAATAAATTTTAAAAAACTCTCTTGGCATGTAAATTAGGATTTTGGTTTCTTAGGGAAAACTTTGAGGGCCGGAGACATGGCTCTGTCATTAGGAGCACTTGTTACTCTTGTGAAGGACCTGGGTTCAGTTCCTAACACCCATATGGTGACTCACAAGCATCTGTAACTCCAGCTCCAGAGGACCTGATGCCCTTTTATGCCTCTGCAGACACTAGGCACCCATGCAGTGGACTTATATTACATTCAGACAAAACACTCATGCACATAAAGAAATCTTTATTGAAAAAGGACTCTTCCCCCACCGGGGGGGGGGAAACAAACAAAAAAAATAAAAATGTGCAGGAAAAGCTCTCTTGACATCAACCCAATTCAATTCAATGGGTGGTTTGGTTTTGCTTTAACCCTAGGCCCCTTTCCATGAGCATTCAGCCCCATAACTGCCCAGCTGTTTGTTTCCTTCTTCCAGTTCCTGTGTAGAACTGGCCTAAGGCCTTAGCTGTCATTTGCTTGGTCCCCACACCCACCTAATAACAGTGGGACAGTCATACCCTCATCCCAGCTGCTTGTCAACTCGTTCTCCTCTAAACCCCACTTTTCCATTCCTTGGACTCTAACCTAGTAGCTGGTCTGATTTGGTTTCCTTCATCCTACATTTCTGTTTTCACATTAGTCTGTTTCTCCTGCTTCCCTCTTTCCTCCAATAGAAGCTCTCAAAGCTAACCAGATCTCAGAGCCTCTGTTGAAAGCCAGGATATATGGATCTAGGCAAACCTGCCAGCAGAAACTTCTCCAGAAGTTGGCCGGTATCTTCTGTGGAAGAAAGGACTGGCTCTGATTGCTGACTGGATAATTTCTACTTAACAATTACCTTTCTGTGCTTGTGCTGAACCAAATCGGAATGCTTCTTGCCTGCCAAGTTCAAAGGATGAGCTCATTCTCATAGGCCACTGGGGAAGATGTTCAGGCAGGAGTCTTTTACGAAGTACATGTGGCCTGAAAGACTGAAGGAACTCAGCAGTATACCCTTGGGAAATCATTCCCATGATGTGCGGCTATGACTGTAGCTGTTGCTATGACTGCTGTTGCTGCTGCTAGGATGGCTGTTGCTGGAGCTGCTGCTGCTGCTGCTGCTGCTGCTGCTGCTGCTGCTATTGCTGCTGCTGTGGCTGCTGCTGCTGCTGCTGGTGGTGGTGTGGCTGCTGCTGTTGCTGCTGGTGCTGCTGGTGCTGTGGCTGCTGCTGCTGCTGCTGCTGCTGCTGTGGCTGCTGCTGCTGGGATGACTGTTGTTGCTGCTACTGTTGCTGCTGCTGCTGGGATGGCTGTTGTTGCTGCTACTGCTGCTGCTGCTGTTGCTGCTGCTGCTGGGATGACTGTTGTTGCTGCTACTGTTGCTGCTGCTGCTGGGATGGCTGTTGTTGCTGCTACTGCTGCTGCTGTTGCTGCCACTGCTGTTGCCTGTGTTACTAGGTCTGGGGCCACCGTTGCCCGTGTTACTAGGTCTGGG